GTTCGACAGTGATGGCTCTTTGCCTCTGTTTTAATAGTTCATGATACACAATACCCGTCTGGTCCTACCATATACAGAGCATTACTTTCTTGCCGTGAATATTCCGCTTTGGTATCGATGTGGATGATTTTCCTGGAGCGCTAATGGATTTCCTTCGTTTGGGATTATTGAAGTACGTATATCCACTTTTCGTCTCCAGTCACAATATGATGCAAAAAGCCTTCTCTTTTTGGCCTGGCAAGCAAGATTTCAGACATGGCTTTTCGTCTCTCGATGTCTCTTTCTTTCAGTTCGTATGGAACCCATCTTCCTTCTTTGTAAATCTTTCCCATGGCTGCTAAACGCACAGAAATTGCTGATCGATCAACATTGAACAATTGCGCGAGCTCATGTTGCAATTGACACGGATCTTCATCGATTAGCGCTTGCAATTCCTCGTCCTCGAACTTCTTCGGCTGACCTGGACGAAGTTTGTCATCGACACTGAAATCATCACTTTTGAAACGTCGAAACCATTCTCTGCATGATTTATCGGTGGGAGCACTTTCATCATAAGTTTCCACGAGTATTCGATGAGCTTCAGCGGCTGTTTTCTTCAAATGAAAACAGAAAATGAGAACTTCCCGGAAATGATACTTTTTTGGCTCGAATTTCGACATTTTCGACATCAGATAAACACGATGTTATTGTTACAAACCCAAACGTTTATCAACTGAATATCATTGTCAGATATCAAAACTAAAAAATAAAGTCTTTTGCAGACATTTGAGGTTAGAAAATTACATAGTACAGCAATTGACCGCCAGATGGACCGAATTAATTCACACAACTAATATCTCCCGTTATCGACAAACTTCGTTCGTTCGTGTTCGGTAGGTTTGACATTTTCGCTCTTTTAATATCCCCTGTTGATTTCAATCCCATTGCTCGTTCATCTCCCTCGACGCGGAGTCCGTTCCGGCCCGGAATAATAAACCGATTTCTTCCTCTTTCTTTCGCGTTATCGTCCCCGCCCGCATTTCGTCCTAACCTCCGCCGCCATTTCCGCGGGAACGAGCGCCGCGAGTCGAAAGCGTTCGGGATCGGGGCTAAGGAAATGGCGCGAGCGCGCGAGTCCCGTGGGTTGAATTTATTTTCCTTTTTCAGCGGCCGCGCGCTAACAATAAAATCTGCCGTCCGCCGAATCGCTTCGTGACGAGATTGCAACCGGCGGATTTATCTCCGTCATGCGTTATGACGAGACGGTTTTTCTCCGTCTCTAATAAACCTTCCCCTTGCCGCGACTGTCACATGCGTCCGGCTCGCAGGAAGCGTCGTTATTAATGTCTCGTTTGGGCAGATTGTCTAATCTCGCGAAAGATAACGCGAGTCGCGGGGCGACAGGCGGCCGCTGCCGCTTTTGTGCGCGGCTGATTGATTACCGAGCGCGCGTCCGCGAAAGAGAGTTCCGACACGCCTTCGTGCACACGTCGTGTATAATATAGAACGCAATTTAATGCGCGAGACAGGGTGGACTCGCCACTTCAACACGTCCGGCGCGTTTACAGACGCGTATTCAAAATTACTCGTCCGTTATTCGCGAACAAAACCGCCCGATGCCGGATGCGAATATGTCTTCACTCACTGACGAGACAACGCCGCAATTACGAGGGTGCGTGGATGGCTTGCGAGAGAGAGAGAGAGAGAGAGAGAGAGAGAAAGAGAGAGAGAGGGAGAGCGGATTCTGTCGGTTGACACCCCGACCTCGGAACAGCCAAGCGACCCCGCTCAAACACGTTTATCCAGTGTCGCGAATTTTTCTTCCCTTGTGTGAAATCTGCATGCGTGCGAGCACACTGGAAGAACACGGAAAAACTCGCTCACGCTCTCGCCGGCCCAATCGCGGTCGCGGGAATTTAGCACCTCGTAGAAAAACCACTGACTCGGCTTAAACGACCCTTCCCTTCCCGCGCTGGTGCGCGAAATCGCCGCAGTATTTCCGGCTTACTTCCGGCTTTTTATTCACCATCCTGGCTGGATATCGGTAATTTACGGGTATCGTGTGCGCAGAATAAGGTCTGAACCGGCCGCGAATCGATTTTCCTGGGGAAATCCGCGGAAAATAAGGTAGGTTTCGCGCGCGCGCGCGCGCGCGTTTAGCGCAGTTATTTACTGTGTAAATTGCGGCAATTGAGGAAGCAACGAAACAGAAAAGTGTAGGTTCGAATACGCGGATGCGCGGCGTTCAAGTTGACGAAGGAAGGATCGATACGACACTCTTGCAATCGTCCAAGAGTCATCGCGTTTGCTTACGAACCGGTTGAGTGCCGACTCGTATCACCAGGAGGAAGAGAACGTTTGACCTGAAAAGTTTCTCGTGTTTCGTTTTGCATTTTTACAGCGAAGTGCATCTCGCAGGAACCTCGAAGGATCAAAGGCTGTAACTGCAATGTAGCGACCACAACCATCGCGGACAATATTTGACCTAAAAGGATCCTCGTTTCCGCGCGGATTTTTTCGACGGAGATACTCTTGATCCTCTCGTCCACCTTCCCCCCCCCCCACCCTTTCTCTAATTACAGCTACGACGAAAAAGCGCATTACTGCAACTGCGGCGCGCGCCTTTCGTTCATTTCGAGGCGATGAAACGAGAACGTGCTCGCTCCTTCGCAATTGAATCCGTAGAGAGATTCTTTTCTTATTCGCCACTCCCTTTCAAAGCGCATATACGATATACGAAATCTTTTCATTTCCGTCGGTAAAATGCGGACGAAATTTATCTCCCGGCGAATATAATATCCGCGGCTTTTTGCCGCGACTAACGACTCGGCCGCGCAATATTCGTCACAGTTCCTTTTTATATGCCGTGATTATTACGCGGTCTCCTAGGACGTGAGGACCATTACCGCACTAATTAAATCCCAGCAGCGCAACACGCTTAATAAAAGTCGCGGGGAACGTTCGTCGAATATCGCCTGAGATAATTTCCGTTTATGCAAAAAGGGAAGAGTACGTCAAAGGGTTAAAGCACGGAGGTATTTCATATTAAACGTTCCGAGCAATATATGACGTGGCTTTTTTGCGACATCCTGTATACCACGCTCTCCCACTTGATAGGCGCCAAGGGCGAAATTCATTTCATCGCCAGTGGATCATTAATAATAAGAGCAAAACGCGGCGCCGTCCCGTTATTAAAGAAAATAATAATGAAGCCGTGATGGTCAAACTTCCAACAAATGTAAATAAATAACGAAGCCAGCAAAAGCTCCAGTCTCCCTCCTCCCCTCCCCTCTCTCTCTTTCTCTTTCAGCTCTAAAAATAAACGTGGCTTTGAAATTGCGCTGCAGCTCAATGACACATTAAGAATAATAATACTAATGTAAAACAAGCGATAATGTCGGGCGATTATCTGGTCATTAAGCGCGATTTATCGTTAATCGAACGACAGCGGGGCGTAGCTTGACAAAATAAACGAAACGGGTTTTGCGCAACGTTGCCGAAAGTCGCGAACAAACGAGACACACTTCCAGCCGGCGAATCCCGTTGCATCGTCGTCCCGACGAAAAGTCCTACGTCACCGACACGCAATTAAAACTTGGAAATAGGAACGCCGGTAATTTCCGCTTTGAGCTTCCCGGTGACATTTCCCTTCGCCTCGGCGAAGGCTGCTTTTCTGCCGCTGTTCGCACGATATACGTGATCGCACGAGACAGCCGAAAAGGAGCCGGAATACCTTCTCTTGCTGGCCGCTGACCACGAAGACGCCACGGTTCCACCACGGCAGATATTCCAACGGCTATGTCAGGCATCTTCTCGAATTACCGGGACGCCTGACGCTGGTGACACGCGGTCAAGACATGTCAGATCACTTGGAACATATGACGAAAGTCTCGAATCGTTGCGAGCATCGCTCGAAGACGGAGATTCTTGAGGACTTCGATAATTGAGGAGCTCGATCTCTTGAAAGTTCCGAATAGCGACGATCTCCCGAGATCGTCTCGTGCGATTTGGAAATCTCGAAAGTCGCGAAAGCCTCGAATGACTTGTAGAATCTTCTTGCCGATCGACTATTGTTGCTCGATACGTCTGTTATATCGTATAAAAGTAGTACGTATAACTTATTACATCTATTCTCCGTCATCGTACATAAACATTCGAGATTTTCGAGCTTTTCCAAGAGCGTCCGTCGACAGTCTTAAGTGATATTCGGATTTTTGTACAGCGAGTTAATGGGAAACTTTGAAGAATAGCGACTCGAACGACGCATCACCGGACGTCGTTGTCGTCCGGATGTTTCCGGCAAAACGAGAGAAAGGACGACCGAGAAAGATCCCTTCGCGCGTCCTGCGGCAGCCACGACGACGAGCTTGCGGATCCCGGGGCTTAATTAAAGGGGATTTAAGTGTCGGTGGTACGCGCAACGTTAGGAGTCTCGACGGAAGGTTTTCTCCGCTCTCTTGTCGATATAAAGAGGAAGCGAAATCCCTCTCTCTCTTTCTCTTCCTCGGTCGTTCTCTCTCAGAGCGCGCAAGGACCAAAATGCCGCCACTGGAATTCGCACCTTGGCAGATCCGAGAGGATTCTCGCGCTATATATCTGTACAAGGTGATTCGGTCAGAAGTACAATCGTTTCTCGCCTCGCGTTGAACAAAGAGTGTTCCGTGCCAACAGTTTTACGTCAACATATAAACCTGGTTTTCAGCCGCATCTCGATGACTACCAAGATTCGAGTCGAGATTGGACTGAAAGTCAACTGCGGCAAGCAGTTTAAACCAATATTTGTGTACGTTTCTTCCCGGAGCGCCCTGTGTTCTCGCAGCGTGCTTAACTCGTGCTTTACGTTACGTTTCTGTTGCACTGCGGAGGCAACTGTGATGCGTATAACGACTGAGATATTTCATGTTCAGCTGTGGGATCCTTTCGTCTTTAATCCTCTCGTCAACACAACGAGACCGTGTCTATACAAATACGCGAGAGCTGCCTCATGATAAATAAATAAAGACGCAGGAATGGAAACTCACCTGTACTCCTCCGGCTCCCACGATGAAGAGTAGCTGTACCATGAATAGGGCTGCCAAAAGATTCATCAGGGTTGTGCCTGCCAGGCTCCTTAAGTCAGAGAAGAGGCTGTAACAAAAACACAGCCTGTCAGTGCAACATTCATCCGCGGAGAAGCGAGACGTTCGAGGGTGTAATATTTACGCCGCGAGGTACAAATTGCATGTATAAGCGAGGTTTGCAATCGAAAAATAAACGGGATCCTTGTGGTCGCGATTAAAGGATAACGCAGAGCCCTTGAAACATGGCTAGAGCACGCGCTTCAAGACCAAGCAGGGAGGAGGAGTACTCGGCGCTTGCGCTAAGGTTGAAATAATAACGGATCGTAAATAGTCGGAGGCTTTTCACGAGCACGTTGAATGATCCCCACTGGTGTGATAACGCGATATAAAGAGCGCTCGGGCCGGGCCTGTATATGTGTGTGTATGTGTGTGAGAAAGAGAGAGAGAGAGAGAGAGAGAGAGAGTGAACGAGTAATGCATTACGTTTCGTGCGACAGCACCCGTTCGTAGGAAAGGTATCGCGATATCACGCAAGTCAAGTGTTCGGCAATAAACTTCGCGCGAGACTTCGCGCAAAGGAGCAAGCCCGATAAAAGCGAATCGCGCGTCTCGCGCGAGACGAGCGACACCGACTGCATTCGTCGCTTCTGGGTTGCTGCGTAGCGAATAGCGACGCGAGGGGAAGGGGAGAAGGGGCGCGCGATTCAATCTCGAGAGATGGAATGTTTGTCGTACAACGGAGAGAGAAATGCAAGAAACGAGAAACGAGAATGCGCGAGGAAACATATGCGAGACTTTATTCATAGAAACTGTTTGGGATTGAGACGAGCGAAATTTATTGTGCCAAATGTTGATGCGTATCGTCGCCAGGAGGGAGTGACAGCGCCGCCGGCCGAGTCGGCCGAGCCGAGCACGTTACAGCCGCGACGCACACCTATTTTCCGCCCTTCCGTCCCCTCTTCATCACGCCGAGAGCCCCGTTTTTTAATTAGTAGCCGAAGCCGCAACGTGAGACACATTTGTTGTTGTTTCTCTCTGGCAACCGCAGCACGCAGCGAGAGAGGGAACGGCACGTTTTAAATTATGGATCCGCCCCGGCTGCCTACAATTAAGTGTCGCGAACCGTTCGCGCGAGTCGTCGTCGTCGTCGTCGTGAATAATTCGGCCGTTCCGTGAATAATTCATAAATCGCCCGGAACGGCGATTTCCAAGGTTAGGATGCTCGCTTCGACGAAGACAAAGGGACGACCGCGATAGACGAGAGTTACAAACGAGAGCTATCCCTCTTGCTTTTCAAAGATGACGGAGCCGAGAGGAGACGCCGAGTATCCGGTCAAAGAACGGCCACTGCGGAAAAATGCGATTAATAATCCGGCAAAGGCGGGGTTAGCCCGCGGCTCGAGGATCGATAGGATAAGAAAGGGAGGGGGCGGGGGCGGGGGGAAGGGCGCAACTCCCGAATATCATACCCGACGGCGAAAACGCGCGAGCGTTTCCTCACTCGCGCGAGATGCCGCGACTCGCAATAAAATCACGGACGGAGGATAATCATTTCAGCGAAGTACTTCGCGCGTCGGGCGAAAGTTGCGCCCGCCTTATCGCACAGTTCCCGGAATATAACGCGTTCATCCCTCAGTGGGAGGAACGGGAAAGAGGATGTTAATTCTCGGAGCGCGTCTGCGGCAGGCTCGCAAGAGATGCAGCGCGACTTGCGTCTGATTTACCGGCGCGGCATCGATATTCGGCTTATGCAGAGACCGAATGTATCGGCGTCCCTTTTTTTGGGTCGTCGGGCGGAAGCGGCTCTGCGGGCGTAAATTCACATTGCCGCTCCGGCAAACGGCATTGTACGTGCAACCGTGTACAGCGACAATGCTGATCACCCGCGCCCACTCTATCGCGCGCGAGTCTGGCCGCTCTTCCTGTATTAAAGTTCTTTAACCTTTAAGGGAGGTCGGATTCGAGAAATTCAAATTGAAAACTCGCTCTATTACGTACCTTTGCGTGTTTCTGCGCGTGATACTCGCGTGCGCGCTGTAGAAACGCAAGAAGAAACCCAAAGAACGGATAAATAATAAGAACGTGTCGATACGACACGATCCCCCGCACGGTGAGTAATTATTATTGTTTGATGATGAGTCCCGTTTCTCTGCTATTGTTATTCCGCTGCGGTGTGCTTGATGTCGTAATTGCACGTACGTTACGGACGGAGTTTCACGCCGCTGCACTGACGAGTTTCATGAGGCATGGACGCAGGCGAGTGAGGCTGCTCTCACAATTGTTACCGCGAGTTACGTGTAATCGATCCGTATCAATCTTGAAACAACGACGAGATAGGAAGAAGGGAGGAGAGAGAGAGAGAGAGAGAGAGAGAGAGAGAGAGAGAGAGAAAGAGAAAAAGCAACAGAGAGGCATAATGATCCGTTCCTCCCGCTTCTCGGAGCGTCGGCGCCGCTCGCTTGCTTCTACCCGGCATTGAAAGTTTTATCGCATGAATTATTCACGAGGATGGACGCGCGCGTGGTGCGGAGGAGAGATCGCGCGCAGAATTTCAGGGATACACAGTGCCGAACTGTCTGCGCGCGTACGATCGTGTGGCCTGCCTCTACTACCCCCTGTTACTCTCCCTCGCTCTTTGACGACAGTCATCTCTCGCAAAATTCGATTACCTTACGACGGGCTTCTTCCCGTACATAATTATCCTCGGTGTCGCGCGCGAATCCTCCTTCTTTTCCCACCGCTCTCACCCCCCGCATCCGCGACGTAAATTCGATCTCGAGGTTTCGGAGGAATTGCATCTTGTCGGCCCGCTTGCGGAATCTTATTTAGACCATCAGCACCCGCGCAAAGTGACGGCGACATCGATCCGTCGCAATTTGCCGTCTTCAAATAATACGCAGCGTGTAGCTGCTGAATTCCGAGCGGCGCCGTCGTTTCGACGCTCGTTTCGCCCGCCGCCGTCGCCATGAGCGGGCATAATGGCGCGTAAGAAAATATCTCGGGGTAACGTCGGGGTGTTGATCGAGCAGCAGTCTGAAAGCCACGCCATAGATGAGCTCCCACGCGACGCTGCTATCTCCAAGGACGATGGCATCCAAGGGGCGATGAAGGCATCGTTCCTGATAAGCGGCGTGACGTGGCGTCGCGGTTTATCAAGGCTCCGACGAGAGAAGATACGACCTTCGGTCACGAGGAGCTTTCGCTTCTTTCGTCGGGCCGAATGAACCCGAAACAACGTGGGAACTTCGTGGAAGCTCCAAGTACAAATCCTCGCTCGCGCGCTTCTCGTCCCTTTAAACGGATCATTATTTGCGATTATACTCAGTCCAGGGAGAGAACGTCATCTCGTGACGATCAGATCCAAGTTCAGTTTCGTAACCCGGGATCAAATTGTTAAACCGTATTTTCCTTCCCTGGCAGCATTGTTGCCCGCGAGGACGTCTCAACGTGAAACTCGTCATCTAATTATCTCACCTAATTATACTCCCTCTTTCTCTTTCCACTTTCCCAACTTGCGTTTTATTATTATTTATCTTATTATCACTTCCGAATCCAATTTACACTCGACCAGCGGCACGGGCACTTGGTCTTCATCAGAAGCGGCATCTGCCGCTCGAGAACTTAAGCCGGACTTATGAGCTACTCTGACAACTTTGCGTCTCGTTCCTCGATCTCGCCCGTCGGCCTTCCTCGGGGGAAGACGACGCGGCGACCTCTCGAAGGTTATATTGCGGATTACGAGGTGACTCGCGAAAACTTTCTCCCCCTCTGGCCCGCTCTCGTCCCATCGGCAGCGTTTTTCCCGCGGCTAATTACACGCGGTACTTACACGTCTCGAGCCTCGAGCTTGATGTACGACCGTAACGCGCGTCGTAACCGAGTCGAAGTTATAACTCGATAGAAGCGCCGCGGCAACAGCGAGCATTCGCTCGCGGAGTAATTCCAGACTTACGTACGACCTTCACGCCGCCGAGCGCCAGCGGCGACGTGGGCTTTAAAAGCGGAAATATTCGTAAAATCTAAAAATACCTTTCCGCGACCTTTCCTCCATCCGTGTGTGTACTTCTCTCCTCGGCGGGCCGGCAACGCTATCAGACGCGACCACGTAAAAGTTAACGAGGCTGTCGAGGCTATTATCGAATATCGACAGACGCCATCTCGTAATCGCCATCTCGTAATTCGAGACAGTTCGGTTAGATCTTCGTTAAAAGGCACTGCCACTATTCGGCGGAATTCGGGTAATCGCTGCCGTGAATCACCTCGCTGCGCCGGCCGCCGAGGCATTGTAACGGCGCCCTTCAACTGCCGCTGGCTTTCACATGCCAGATTGTCGATAGAGAAATTCTGTCTAAACGTCCAACAGACAACAGACATCGGGGCGCCCGGGAGTGATGCGGGGAGCAGCGAGTTCGCGAAGAAACTTTGCCCGCAAATCGGACGCAGTCGGAAGCAGTCGCGCGTAACAGCTCGCTCGCGCTCGATCGTCTTTTCGTGATTTCGGTGTCCCGTTTCCCCGCCGCGAGTTTATTCATTTTATTCCGCCGTCAAGGTACTCACGCTCCCGAGAATCTCGAGCGTTACAAAGAAGTGGCTGGATACAACGTTGTTTTGACGTCGCAGAGCCGCCCCTTAATGGCCGGACAATCAGAAGCGACGCGACGTTTTTACTGCGGGCGGGCATCGTAAAAAGGAGTCCGTGGGCGAAATTCGCGTGATGCGAGACGAGTCGTTCGAGGAGGAATTTTCGAAGGAAAAAAGAAGGAGAAAGAAAAATAGAGGTGGACCGATGGACGACCGACAGTCCCTTAAGCCGGCGGGATCCTTCTCGACCCACCACCTCTCTTCAGATCTAAATCGCACCCACGGGAAAGCCGTTACGCCTCCGCGAACTTTGCCGGCGCGAAACTTTCGAGCTTATTAGTCTGAATCCTTTCGCCACCTCTCTCATAACAAAATCAGACCGACCAAAGTACTCGCGCTGGTGGAGTTCTTGCGGGAAACAAAGAAAATGAGCGGAGGTTTTCTGAAAATCCCCCGCGACACGAGCTCTTCTCGCCATCCTCGCTT